CATTGTTTACCATAAGCTTTACAAAGTCATCTGCCATTACCTTTGCAGACTGATCTGAGCTTGTCACAGTAGCCATATTGTCTATAAATTCTATTCCTTGTATTTGTTCTTCTCTATTAAGATGAATTCCATTAAAATTTGGATCTAGAATATTTGCAGCAAGATGGATTGGATTTATTCCCATTTGTTTTTTACTTTCCTTTCTTCTTATTTAAGCAAAGAGTTGTTTCAAAATGACTTTCCAATTCATAAATGCAAGCAGCTACTTGGGTTAACCTTGGTTTATTTCCTTCCAGTTGGGTTATGTATAGTATATCTTCAACTGTTTCACAAACTGATAATGTTTTTAATGCAATTGTATCAAAAAGACTTTTTTCACAGGCAATTTTAAGGAAATGGCTGCTTTGGTGTAATTTCTTTCAGTTTTTATTTTTGAAATGTCTCCAAAACTCAGGATTTGGTGTAGTAATAATGAAATTAAGTATGGATTCGTTCCTTTGGTTGCTCCAACCATCACACTGTAAGCATCAACTTTTCATGCTCGTAGTCTAGTAATTTATTTGATAATAAATAACGTGCAGGCATTTTGAAAAATGGTCTCAAATGTTTGAAAAATGACTGCCAGTGATTATTTTCAACAATGGCAAATGGACCTAATAGTTGTTCTAGCTTCTCTTTAGGATCTGAGGATCTTGAGGATCTGTTAACTTCTAATTCTGAGGTTGTCTAAAATCTAAAAGAAAATTTAACTTATAAAATTAACTACTTAGCTCTAGTGTTAGTTTTAATGCTAGTGTTAGCTTCAACTATAATCTGAGAAATGAAATGCAATTAAAGAGTGAAAATGATTACTTATATTCCTTTTTAGATAAATGCACCGATTAGTTGAATAATTGATTTATTGATATATAATCAGGTTTTAGGTGATTAAATTTTGAGTTGATTGTACGTACATAAAATCTAAAATCGATACGTTGATGTGCGCTTTTAAAATGAATATCGCAAGCATAGGTTTTGTCACATGTTCCGTTGGTGTTGGCGTCTATCGTCGAACGGGAAACAAAAGCCTTTGATCAAGTTGGCAATATGGACAGCGTCGGGGGCACGTATAGCAGAAAACGGAGACTTTGAAAGGAAGAGCGGTCAGCCTTAATAACGATAACTTATCCTTAAGGGTGACGTGCTTTATTTTAAAATAGGCGAATTTGATGCATGTCACGTTAAGCACTGTTAAACGCCCTGTATATGGGGAATGGTGATGTTCGGCTAATGCTACGCGATGCTAATGCGCTTCGAGTACACAGACCATTAACAAACCAATTGTGTACTACATATATTAAATGTAATATGTTTAAGATTTTTGCCATAAATCTAGCGAAAAATGGAATCGTGGTTCTTGGAGAAGTGTTGATTTAATGGTTCAGATTAAACAATATTCCATTGGGTATGAGATAACGAACTCGCCGGGCGTTCACTTAATTGTTTAAGTAAGAAATTATTTAAATCGGTCGCCGTAACGTAGCCGATGGGCGAACCACGTCTATTTTCGACATTGTCGGGGAGTGCAAATCTAATAAAAACTTCGAACCGTCGCGGAAACTGAATAAGTAACCGTCATAATTGCGTTCTATACTGCTACACTGCATTTTCGGCCCCGTACCGGAGTAACTTTCAACTTTAAACTAATTCCACGAATTACAGCTTCGTAAAGTTTTAAATTATCGATTTCGCCTATATCAAACCTTTCCTTTTTTGTTTTACTTTAATTATTATTATTAAAATCTTTATTTTATAATTACTCAAATATAACCTCGGTTTACGTCGTATGCAGATGACGCCACTTCGCGTTCTCGAGTGTCTCGTGGTTTACCGAAGACAGAGTAGCTCGTACTCGATCAAAGACTGAAAAGACGACGTTACCACGCGCAGAACTAATCAGAATATGTTCTCTAGACAGATTAATGTCATATTACGAACGCTTTCAGCTTGGTTTAAATCACATCCTCTACATACTACATTTCCAGTCATTCAACTATATATATTAATTGAAGAAAAAAATTAATAAATCATTTAATTGTGTGTGTAGCAATTTCGGGTGAAATTCGATAATAATTATTGGTATTTGCTGAGAATTTTAATTAAATTTTAATATTTTTGTCATAGATTAATTCCGGTGAGTAGGTTTATTTTAAAATATGTGCAATGAAACTGTTAATTAATAGGTTGAATATAATGGAAATAATTTGGGATATAATGAGTATAATATATTTATTTAATATACCCAATAAAAAAACTCTAACCATTACAACATATATTTATTATTATTAAAATAAATAAAATTCTTTAAATTTATTGTTATTTTGGGGTGTGTTTAAAAAGGTGAGAAATCGTTTGTTGTTGTAATTTGGGAGTACAACGGGACCAGATAAGTGTCGAATTAAGAGTGTTTGCCGAGAGTTTTAATTAAAATTTAATTTTCGCCGTACAGGGACCATGCCCCTAAGGGCGATCTGCTTTAAACTGTCGCCATTTGGTTCGAAAATTACCTCGGCAATTAATTATCCGACTCCCCGTTGGTACATTCGCCACAAAAGTCCCGGTCAGCTCCAAGGGAAACATAAATTTATTCATTTCGCCAACCCGCACCTAGAAGTTTCGCCACACGACGATTTTTTTCGTGGGTGGTCCCTTGGCTTTTAGACTTTAAAAAAAAATCCCAGAGTATAATTTTTTTACACTACATTTAAATAAAATGAGACGGTTTTTTTAGAACTAGAAACATTCAGATTTAGCCGCACGTCTCTCAAGACGACTAAATCCGAATCATTCTAGTTCTAAATCTTATGTTAGTTCTAGTATTGCACTAGGACTATCACTAGAACTAACACAAAACCTAGAACTAGAAACATTCGGATTTAGCCGCACGTCTCTCAAGACGGCTAAACCCGAATGATTCTAGTTCTAGGTTTAATGTTAGTTCTAGAATTGCACTAGGACTATCACTAGAACTAACACAAGACCTAGAACTAGAAACATTCGGATTTAGCCGCACGTCTCTCAAGACGGCTAAACCCGAATGATTCTAGTTCTAGATCTTGTGTTAGTTCTAGTATTACACTAGGATTATCACTAGAACTAACACAAGACCTAGAATTAGAAACATTCGGATTTAGCCGCACGTCTCTTTAGACGGCTAAACCCGAATGATTCTAGTTCTAGATCTTGTGTTAGGTCTAGTATTACACTAGGACTATCACTAAAACTAACACAACACCTAGAACTAGAAACATTCGGATTTACCCACAAGTCTTTCAAGACGGCTAAACCCGAATGATTCTAGTTCTAGATCTTGCGTTAGTTCTAGAATTGCACTAACACTATCACTAGAACTAACACAAGACCTAGAACTAGAAACATTCGGATTTAGCCGCACGTCTCTTTAGACGGCTAAACCCGAATGATTCTAGTTCTAGATCTTGTGTTAGTTCTAGTAATAGTGCTAGTGCAATACTAGAACCAACACTAGAACTAGAAACATTCGGATTTAGCCGCACGTCTCTCAAGAC